GAGGAGGGGGGCGGGGGGGTGACCTCCCGACGAGCTCCGTCGGAGCGGCTGCTGCGGCGCCTTCGCCAGAGGCGCCGCGCCCTCGCAGGCGGGAGAGGCCTAGTCCCATACCTCCAGAGTCTCGAACCCAGCGTGGGTTCAGGTCCCGTGGGTGGTGCGGTACCGCCCCCACCTCGCAGTTGGGAGACGCGGAGCCGCAGAGGGGCGACGTCGCGCCTGAGTGGTTGTCAGCGGTCCATGACTGGTGCGGTGCGTCAGAGGAGCCGCGCAGGGGGGCGAAGGTCGCGCCGCAGCTTCTCCGGACGTGGGCCGGCGGAGGAGGGCCGAACGAGACCCGCCTAGCCTCGGGTCGTCTCGGGTCATCTCGGGCAATCTCGGGCAATCTCGGCGGCGGCAGAGGCCGGCGGACGCGACGCGCTTGGGCGGCGACGCCTCGAGCCCTCCTCGCAGCGGCGCCTGCGGTGTGTCCGCGGCACGGCGGGGCGGAGAGACCGTCACTCGCCTAGGAGTGAACTACACTCAACTGATGCATTAAACCATCAAACGGCGGCGGAGAGGCGGCCACTCGCCGTGGTCGAGCTGCTGCCGCCGCTGCTACTGCGGTTGCCGCTGCCGCCGCAGCATCGCTTTTCCGCGCCGCTGCAGTCGCGTCGCTCTTCCGCGCGCGCTGCAGCATCAGCGAGGAGAGCGTCGCCGCGGCGGTGCCGACGTAGGTAGAGATGGACCTAACAGTCGATTCGCACTGTCGGCAATGAGGTAGGTAGTATTGCTGCTGATCGGACGCAGAGGCGGAGATGGTCCCTCGAGAGGTGACCGTGGACAGCATCTGCATCTGCATGTGCCGCTCGTAGAAGGCCGGGTACATGTCCGGGCCGAGGCACGCGTCGACCACCTGAGGAGGTAATCTCGGGAAATCTCGGGCAATCTCGGGTAATCTCGGGAACTCTCGGGTAATCTCGAGCTCAGAAGCGAGTGTCAGCCGTGGGTTTGCTACATGTCCGTCTCGGACCACCCAAGGCGAGGGTGGGGTGAACGACCAGAAATGGGATAGCAGTGCGTGTGTGTGCGTGCGTGTGTGTGCGTGCGTGTGTGTGCGTGATGCGTCTGACTGCGCCCGCCTCCTCCATCGGCGATATGTCGATGGCGGTCTCGAAGACCGACACGAGCAGCACCGACGGACCCGCTCTCCTCGGCCAGCGGAGGCGCTCCCTCCACCTCTCGAGGTCCACGCGGCAGCGGCGTCGCACGCTCAACGCGGCGTGCCTCAGCTTTGGCTCCGGCCGAGTCGTCGGAGAGATTACCGCCACCCTCGCCGGCCTCAGAAAGTGCCGCGAGAAGGTCCGCCGCGGCTGGTCGATCCGACCTCGGCACCGCATCTCCCGTCGGCTCTTGAAGAGCCGCACCGCGGCGGCGATGGACAGAATAGCCACGGCGCCCCAGAGCACCATGCCGCAGACGGCAATCACAACGATGGACGGTGAGAGGCGGTCGTCCGGGTGGACTCGATGGTGCACAGGGTGGAAGCGGGCGAGGCTCGACATCAAGACTGTGCAGAGACAACCGCAGGTGGCGAGCGTGCCTGTTGCGAGGGTGGACTCCCTGCTGGACGGCTGCTCCTTCTGACTGAGCAAGTCGCAACGACCACTTTTTCGAAAAAAGAATTCTCCAACCCGAATTAACGTCGCGCAGGACCATCAAGGATCCAGTTCCGACCGGCTGTGGAACGTCGCAACTTTTTCCGACGCAAAAAAGAAATATTGTTGGGCTAGCTGTTAAGACGCCGTTGGATCACCTGCTTCTGATGGTGCGCGCCTCCGCCCTGCCCGTGGCGCCGACGATCGATTTAGTTATTATTCTGGGTTAACCTCGAGTAATATGAGTTAACCTCGCGTACGGTATTCCACGTCCTAACCCAATTAGTTAATTCATTAATTACTTGCGTATGGTATTCCGCGTCGGGTATTCGTAAGTATTCCAGGAGCGGAACAAGGCAGGGCGGCGCGGCGGAGCTGTCTCGACGCAGTGTACCACCACCCACGCTGTAGATGGACAGAGGAACCAACAGAGCGCAGTGGGAAGGGGAAGGGGGGAGAGGCTGCGAAGGGCGAGGGGGGGTGGAAGGGGGTGGGCAGTGCTATGCCACCTGCCTCGTGCGCACCTCTATTCTGCTCCGGAGTGACTCGCCACCGCCATCCCTGGGCCCACTGGGCAGTCGTGTGAGGGGCCGCCCCCTAGTGGGTCCCCCGACTGACCCGTAAACCAACCATGTTCGGAGCCTGGATAGGGTGTAGGCCGTTCGGAAGGTGGGTCGGGAGGGGATCGCCCGCTAGGAATAGTCTTCCCTGACCCCGCCAGTCCGCCCGCCTGCCCTGCCCGCCTGGCTGATAAGATCTTTTCACCTTGACCTGGTGGAGTACAGGCGCGGGGGGCGTGTGGTTGAGACTCGGCTCGTGAGCCCCGCAGACTCTCGCCTGCCAACCCCGAAGGGGCTGCCGTCCACCCGTCGCTGCCCAGGCCGGGGGAGGGGGGGGAGACCTCCTGTTCCTCGCGGAACGGGAGTAGGCCCCTCCTTGCCCGGTCGGGAAGCAGGGCGGTGGTCGTGCCATCGTCGCCTCGAACTCGAAACGCCGCATTCGTCGCCGGCGCGCGACAGGCTCCCGTCGGCCGGACTGCCCTCGACGAGCGGGTGTCGCCAACCAAAGCGACACGCACTCGAGGGTAGTGCCGACGGGACGCGGCTCGAGGGCGGCTCTCGCGAAGGCACGGCTGGCAACCGTGGCGCGGGGCTCGTGTTCGACAAGACCGGGATCGCTCTACCGGCAAAGCTCTCGCTGACATGCGCGCCCCGTCAAGCTGACGGCGGGCGCGCTGAGGTTGCACGCCAAGCCAAGTTATATGCCAAGGGCGTGCGATCGAGAATCGGCTCACGCACCTCTGCTCGCGTACCCTCACCCATAGAATTGTCACCGCCAGTGAGTGCGAGATAGGGCTGGCCGCTGGCGGCTAGCCCCTGAGGAGAGTGACCAGAGACACCTCACATGACCCCACACACGGTCTAGTCCGGCCTCGCGGTCGGCGGAGATTGCTAGAGGACGAGCAAGCCTGCTCTAGCCTCGCACGTTGCTTCCTGTCGTCTGTTGTTTGTTGTGCCCTTGTTTGTTTCTCTTGGCACCTTGGAGTGCTGGGGGGGGCGACAGGAAGAATGTGGCCCTGAGTTATGTATACGCCAACTCAGGGTGTGTGGCAGCCAGCTGGCTGTGTGTCTTGTGAGCTTGTTTGTGTCTGTGTGTCGTTCGTGCGTGTCGTCATCATCTGTCTCGCGTCCACCCATACCGCGTTGGTGTCCAGTCCGAGCCTGGCTGTTCTTCACCTTTCTACCTACCTACGATAGTAGTGAGTAGGCTGCGGGTCGATCGCGCCCGCTTGTGGGCCGCTGATACCCGGGAGCGACGACTGAAAACTGCGCGGAATGAGGCCGTGCGGCTGCTGCACGAGCGAGAGAGGAGCGCACACGCTTTCTTGATCGTATGTAAAATGGTACTTGTGGAGTGCGCGCGAGCACACACATACCGACAACAGTATATCAACATACAAACTCTCGCGTCTCGCTCGGATTGGCTGTCGCCAGTTCGTCCACATTTTAGCAACCGACCGGCTGTGCAACGACTGGAGCCTTCCTTGATTGCTTGATGTCTTCTCTTTGGGAGGGAGCAGAAAGCAGCCCAGTATCTCCAGGCCTAAATAAGATGGTACGACCCGCTGGGGAGTCGGAGGCGGGCAGGTGAGGACCTCTCTCTCCCTGAGGACCTCAGCGATGAGGACCTCTCCAGTCTCCTCAAATGATGAAATGATGAGAACCCCTTTGGCTTTGCATCAGAGATAGCCACGCCAACCCGGCAACTTGCCTGGCAGCTCATTAAAGTAAATAATGTCCTCAATCATCAGAACTGGCGCCGCACCGCGATCATCATTTTCAGAGGGAAACGCGGGGTCCTGATCCCCAATGAGGACCTCTCGGTTCGTCGTGAGGACCTCAATGAGGGCCTCTCTCTTTGTTACTTTCGAGGCAAGGGAGGAAAGATAAAGGCTTGTGCGATTCGAACGAGGCCCCAACACTCTCGAGATATCAGTCTTCCCCCACACTCGCCGGGGGACATACAGAAGATCAAACGCGCACACACAAGCAAGCCCGTGCAAACATCCGCTCTTGTGTTATTGTGTTGAGATAAGTAGAGAACTGCTCTGCCACTGATGGTGCGTCTACGTTGCGGCCTTCGGCACGTTATTCGTTGTATTGAGTATCGCGAGCGCTGTCTGCTGCGCTCTGTGCTGTGGTACAGTCGCTTATTAGATGCTCAGGATTAGCTCACGCACCAGGGCAGCGAAGTTAATTTCTCCCAGGCGCCGCCACGCTGTCAAAGTCGTCCTCGCTTTCGTCGTCACTTCCATCCAGCTGCGTCCCCCCTGCTGCCGTGTGTCGTGACAGTTCGTCTGGGGTACTGTCTCTGGTGGCTGCGCTGTTTTCCTGAGGAGCTGCTCTCCAGGCTTCAGGCGCAACGAGATGCGCATCCATGCCACCGAAGGCGCTGTCGAGGTTCGCGGAGCGCGGCGAAATCGAGGGAAGCCGTCACCGACGAGCGCGTTGGAGTTTTCACTCCGGACAAAGACGGCTGCGACACGCACACGAGCAGCGGCTGCGTGTCGCGCTGTCTCTTCGTAGCGGCGCGAGGCGCGCGGGGCCGTCTGTGGCGAGCGGGTGGGTCCCCCTCGATTTCCGTCAACTCATCATGCATCCGTGGACCCTTTATACACGCATCAAGCTTGCATAGGGGATTCGGTCCCCCGGGCAGGTGCGGGACCGTAACGTAACGTAGAGTGCGTCGCAACCGCGACACGCGACTGTACGTATGCAGTATACCCTCAACGCGCTTTCACTCTGCGGGCGCGCGGCCTCGCGCGCGTCCCGGCCTCCCTAGCTTTCCCTCGCCCTGGCTGCGCCTGGTCATGAGTCGCGAGAGGCCTCGCCGTGGCCCACCTCCGTTGGACCACCTCTTCCTCGCCTCCCAGTACTGCTTTACGGTTTTGCGCACTCCGGGCCGGTTCCACTCGAGAAACGTCTCCCAGTCGACCGTCGACAGCTCCTCGGGCAGCCCGGCGTACCTGCGGCCGAGAGAGAGGAGGGGAGCGTGGTGCGGCCGTCGACAGCGACAGGCTGCCCACCGCCGGGCCCGCGCGCCCGTGAGACGGGAAGGACTGCTCCTCGTGCGCAAAGGCGATGACGTTGATCTGCTCGCGCAGCCAGTCAAACTTGCCATACTCCTCCTCGTCCAGATCCTCGATCGAGCCCTGCGAGGGCGCGTCCGGAGGCTTGGATGGCGGGGCTCTGTGTGCCGCGTGGGCGTGCGGTGCCCGGGGCCTAGCGAAAGAACGGGCGCGCGCGGGGCGGACAGGCGGGCGTCGGGTGAGGTGGAAGGGGTGGAAGGGGGGAGAGGGCGAGAGGGCCCCGCGCCTGCATCAGGAAGAAGTCGAGGAGCTCGATCAGCAGCTGCTCGCGCGTGGGCAGAGAGTACTCGTCCACAAAGTTGTACGAGATGGCGACCTATTAATTAATTATAATTGTATGGGTATAAATCATAATTCATTAACGAAGTTGTACGAGATGGCGACCGTCGCATCCTCGTTGCGAACCTCGTGCGCCCAGCTCTCGGGGATGAAGATGAGCTCGCCCGCACCCACCGACCCCTCCCAGACCGTTACCTCACCGTTAGAGACCGGATCTCCGCCCCCGCCGCCCTTGCCGCCCTTGCCGCCCTCGCCGCCCTTGCCGCCCTTGCCGCCCTCGCCGCCCTCGCCGCCCGCGCCGCCCTCTCCACCCTCGCCGCTAAAGAGGCTGAAACGGTAGCCGGAGCAGACCTCGGCGAACAGGTTTGGCTTGGCGGTGCGGCGGTGCTTCTCGTGCAGCGCGATAGTCTCCTCGTCGCACCTGGCGGGGACGTGTCACGGACGCGTCGCGGACGCGTCGCGAGCGCCTTCTCTCGCCTCGGGCCGGCGCAGCGTTCGCGCCCCCTTGGGCTCACCTTGTTGGCCCGCGCTGCTTGAGCAGGATCGAGTCCACCTTGTCGGTCAGCCGGAAGCTCTTCGTCCCGTGGAGCACCTTGGGCGGAGGTGTGGGAGGAGGTGTGGGCGGAGGTGTGGCGGAGGTGTGGCGGAGGTGTGGCGGAGGCGTGGGGGAGGTGTGGGGGAGGTGTGGGGGAGATGTGGATGCAGGTGTGGCGGAGGTGTGGCGGAGGTGTGGGGGAGGCGCGGGGAGGCGCGGGGATGCGTGCACCGCCATCCAAAAGCGGGTCCCCTTCGAGTCCCGGTGCAGGCCGGAGGCGGAGTGCGCCGGGCCGAGGAAGAGGGAGGGGTGGACCGACCTGAGGCGCGGGAGTAGGGGTGGGTTCGGGTACCGTGGGGGTAGGGGTGGACCGACCTGAGGCGCGGGGGCGGGGAGTGAGAGACACGACGTACCACGGCTACCAGCCTCGCTTGATGAGGCAAAGGCGACGTGCGCGCGCGCGCGCGGGGGGGGGGGGGGGGGGCAGAAAGCGAGAGCGGGGGACGGGAGGAGAGGCGGCGTGGCAGGCTCCGCGAGACCTGTACTCGTACGCCCTGCAGTCGTCCTTGTCGAAGTCCGCGCCCGCCAGCTGGCGCAGCTGGTCCACCGGGAAGTATCGGGGCGGCCGCACTCTCTCGAGGAGCGCCGGGCAGAGCGTCGAGATGCGAGTGTCGTGCAGGTACAGCTGAGGGCCGAGGACGGTGTGCTGACCCGTCGAGGCGGTGTCGCGAAGCTGATCCACCGGCCGTGAGGAGAGAAGTTGATCCACCGGCCGTGAGGAGAGGTCGTTGGGGTCCGCCTCGACGCGCATGCTCCACCCCTCGTCCTGCTGCGCGGCAATCAGCTGCGACAGGTTGCGGAAGACCGCGCTCCCCTCCAGTCCTCGCAGCAGCCGCATCCCTCCCCAGCCCTCGGCGGCCGATTCGTGCCGATACCGGACCGTCGCCGACTCGTTGTCGCAGCGGTGCCTGAGCGGCCGCTCGCCACACAGCTCCACCAGCTCCGCGTGAGAGATGTGGCCGTGCTCCATCGAACCCGAGACGATCACAGGCGTCGACGTGGCGAGGTACTTGCGATGGAACTCGCCGAATGTGATGTTGTGCTCGCGCGCGATGGGGCGCCGCCTCCCACGCCGCGGTGGAGCATGGCGCGTCGCTGCCGAGACAATCTTCTCTGGAGACTCTCTTGGCGAGGCCTCGAACTTATTTTTCAGCTTCTCGAGCCGATTCTTCACCTCCTCCTGGGAGAAGATGGGTGTCGGCCTCGCCGCCGCCGCCGCCGCCGCCGCCGCCGCCGCCGCCGCCGCCGCCGCCGCCGCCGCCGCCGTCTGCCTCGGCGCCACCGCCGACTCGGTTGCGGAGGCCGGCATACGCGCGGCGTGCCAAAGGCCGGCCACAGCGACGGCCGCCAGGCCAGCAGCGAGGCCGACGCAAGCCGTGCCAGTTAGATGGTGACGTGCAGTTGCTGCCGAAGAAGGTCGAGGCCGCTGCTGACCAGCGCGTCTTTTGTGTCGCTGGGCACCGTTTGCCCCTGGAGGCGCGGTTGACGGCATACACAATGGAGCTCCAGGAGGCGGCCAGGAGGCGGCAGCACGGGTGGCCGCGCGGGTGGTTGCTTTTGGCTTCCGAACCAGGTCCTCGTGTTGGCGTAGGCGCGCGAAGTGTGCTCCGAAAAAAAAGAAAAAGAAAAGAATGTTGAGACTTAACTCTCTGCATGGACATCCGCAACGCACAACAAACTTGCAAAGTTATAGATACACAGTCTCCATCGCTCTCGCGTCTCGGACTCAAATTGGCTCTCCACTCCAGTTCGTCCACGTTAGCAACCGGATGTGCAACAACTGTGGAGCCTTGCATGATTGATGTGTCCTCTCTCCAGGTGAAGAGAGCAGCCCCGTCTCCAGGAGCCCTAAATAAGATGGTACGACCCGCTGGAGAGTTGGAGGCGGGCAGGTGAGGACCTCTCTCTCCCTGAGGACCTCGGCGATGAGGACCTCTCAAACACTGAGGACCCCTTTGCATCAGATGCCCACTCGCTCAAGGTAGCATCCAACGCCAACCCATGCGAACCCCTTTGCATCAGAATGATTCCCACTCCGCTCAACATAGCATCCAACGCCAACGGCAACTAGCCTGGCACTTCAATAAATTAATGTCCTCAATTATCAGAACTGGTCGCCGCACCGCGATCATCTCAGTTATTCACTCGGGGTCCTGCCAATGAGGACCTCTCGGTTCGTGCAGGTGAGGACCTCAATGAGGACCTCTCTCTTTAGTTTAGTTTCTTTCGAGGCAAGCTTGGAAAGGCTTTGCATGATTCGGCCGATGATCCTCCTCCTTCTTCTCCTCCTCCGGCATTCCATTTGTTTTTTTTCGCGTTTTTTTTAAAGGCCTATTTCGGCTCTTGGGCGGGCGCCCTCAAACCCGTACGGGTTGTGTCAGCGCCGCGCGCGGCCCCAATGCCGGGCTCTGCGCCGGGTGTTTCGGGCGCCGAGAGTGGCCTGGCCCCGGACCCACCCCCGGAGGCCGATGGTGACATGCGCCGCGACGCAGTCCGCCTCCTGGAGGCTGCGTCGCCGGGTGCCGTCAACGCAGTGCTCGCGATGTTGCGCGCGATGGAGACTGGGCGGTCCTCGGGCGGTGGAACCGACTCGGGCGCAACAGTACGCCACCAGACCGTCATCGACGGCCGCTGCGACACGCTCTTCCTCCAGTTTGCCGATGACAATGACCCACCGCTCTCGTCGCCGACGGGGCCAATGCCAGTGCGCAGGATCAACTATGGACCGTCGGCGGGCATGAACACGTCGACCCCGGCGTCCGCAGTCTCCGAGTCGGTGCGCTCGACGCCGCGCAGCGGCCGCACGGATGCGTCGTCGTCGACAGAGTCACAGACGCCCTCCACCACGGACTCGGCCCGTCGGTTGTATGCGAGTCCGAGGCGCAGCCTGCTAGGCGAGCGGCACTCACATACGCCGTGTTCCGGCAGCACGACCGAGTGGAGCAGCTACCTGGGCACGCCTGCTCCTTCTGGCGGCGTCCGTCCGGCTGCAGGGCGCAGCGATGGCCGCTCTGCCTCCCGCCAGCCAGACACCCCTACCTCTCAGGCGCGCACCTCTCCCGGCTGCGTGGCAGCCGCTCCTAGCTACTCACATCACAACCGCCGTGCTTGCAGGCGACTTCAAACTCGTCCCAGCAAGACTCGCCGATTGCTCAGGCACGACGCGCCAGGCGCCGCGGTGGCCGGCGTGGCGGTGGCCGCAGCCGCAGGGGTGGCGAGGGCGTCTTCGACGCGCTCGACGACCCACCCGGCGACATCGAGTGCATCCGCTGCGCGTACCCGGACCGTATCTTACCGGCAGCGCTGGAAAAATGCCTTGTCGAGGTGCTGAAGGCGGACCTGCACTTCTCGGTGTACCTCGACCTGCAGCACGACAACGCTGCTCCCTTCCTGGAGGACCAGCGCGAGGCGGCGCACCGCTGCGGCCGATATCATCTTTACCGTGCTGCCTACAAGGTCTTGAACGCGGGCGACGACATGAAGCAGCGCACGAAGTTCTGCGATTGCATCGAGAGGTTTGTTCGCAGGGAGTTCCCGAGCACCCAGTGCGACCTGGGTCCAGACTCGGATTGCGACTTTCTCGCAAAGTGCGTCGCCATGGGCCACTACACAGGCTTCCTCACTAAGGCGCAGTCACGGGCACGGCGCGTGTGTGGCGTGTGTGGTGACGAGGACGGGGAGGGCGTGCGGGGGGGCCTCTGGTCTAGTGACTTCTAGTATCTCTAAAGAGCGTGTGTAGTTGAGGGGGGTGGACGGTGGTTCGATCGGCGAGGGCCCTTGCTGCTATGCAGGTTCCGTGGCCGGGCGGCGCGATTTTTTCTATTTCACGCGGCAGCCCGCCGCCGCCCGCCGACTTCGGACCGCGATTCGCGCCAACTGCCTTCGCGAAAGCAACAGCCATGCCTCCCCGTGCCCCTCTCGGCAACAGCAACGTCAACAACCGGCAGCCCGGCCCAGGCACCAAGCGAGGCCGCCGCCACGGACCGCCGTCGCGCTCTTCTCTCGGGCCGAGCAGTGCCAGTGGCGGCGGTGATGCCCACCGGCACAAGGCACGGCGCCCGCAAAACTCAGACGCCGACATGACCACGGTGCCGAAGCCCAAGGCAAAGGTGACGCCGCGAAGCTCGCCGACGAAGCTCGACGCGTCGGCCCGCGGCAGCAACCTCCTCACCACGCTGCAGCGGAACTCCAAGCTCATCCTCGTCGCACTTGCGGGGATGAATCTGGCCGGGCCTGGCTCAGCTGCCTCGATGCGCAGCAACGCCAACGTGGGCGAGTGGCTCGTCACTCTCGCCGCCGCACTCCCTGGCACCACGGTGTCCGCGGACGGCACGACGCTCGCCATCCTGGGGCGCGAGTTCCACTTTGACGGGCCTGACGAGCGCATCGCTGCGCCGGCTGACGCCGATGGCGGCACTGCCAGTACTGCGAGCAACGTGACGGTGCCGCTGCTGCCGACGGTGGCGCCGGCGACGGTCATCAAGGGCGACGCCGCGCGGCGGACCGGCACTGGGCACGGCAATGTGCTGATGCCCCTCACGGGGATGGTGGTGGCTGAGGTCCCGCAGATCAACGCCCTTGCGGCGGCGGTGCAGCTTCACGCCAAGGACTGCCCATGCTGCGAGCTGGTCTTTGTCCACGACGAGACGGCGCAGCCGGAGTGCTGCAAGGTCGGTTTCGTCGGCTGCTTCACCTTCCGATGCACGGGCTGCGGCCACATTGTGCACTGGAACACGGCGGCTGAGAAGATGTCGGGCGCGCCACGCACGCAGCCGTCCACTGCCACCGCTGGAGCCGCGGCGCCCGTCGGCGAGGCGAGCGCTGACCTGCCAGTATTCGGCCCGGTGCCGAGGCCGAAGCTGGCGCCGCACGCGAGGGTTCGCTTCAAGCAGACTCGCTGGGCCGAGGAGCGAGCGCGTGGCCGCATCCTCTCGTTTGCGGAGGGCAACAGGATCCTCGACGCAGAGTGGCGTGCGCTGACCTTTGCGCAAAAGCTGACCTACGGCCGCCCTGCAGCTGGGGAGGTTAGCGACGCGCCCGAGGAGTGGGTGGAGGAGCCGGCGGTGCTCCGGCAGAAGCTGACCGAAGCTCTCGAGTACCGAGCAAAACTCGACGCTCGCTTCTCGCGCCGAAAGCTCGCGGCGACGATGCGGCTCGGCTCGGAGAAGGTCCTCCGAGACTTCGTCGGGGAGAAGGAGCGCGTGCCAACGAGGGCAAATCGCAAAAAGATTGTGGCGTGGCTAGCTGCGCACCCCACCCCGCCGGAACCTCTCGACGCCGAGAGTGACAAGTTCGACTTTTTCCTCAACTACGAGCTGGTTGCCGGGCTGCACTTGACCGGCTGCGAGTTCGCCCGAGCGCAGGACTTTTTCGCGGTGACGGGCCTCGCCGACCTGAACAAGAACTTCGACACGCGGGTCAAGGCCGAGCTTGCGTGCGTTGCCTTGCAGATGGACAGCGAGGACACGAATCGCGTCATCAAATGGTGCTGCGAGATCGGTGACAAGCGGCTCGGCTTTGACGCGGGGCACGGCCAGAATCGCAACTCGAAGCACGCCTACGGCACCTTCATGACGCATGTGCTGGGGCTGTGCGCCCTGTGCCAGGTGACCGACAAGGACCGCTCCAATTTTTGCGCTGGCGTGGCGCAGCGCGGCGAGAAGGAGGCGCTGCTCACGGGCCTACGCCGGCTGGTCGAGCTGGGGCTCGTCCCCGAGAATGTGGCGACCGACCAGTGCTCTGGTGCGAGCGTCGACATCGCGAACGTCGCGCGGGCGCTCGGCCTCGCCATCGTGCACGACTGGGACACGTACCACGTCATCGTCACCATCAAGAAGAAGTGGGAGGCGTACATCGCGGCGAAGTGCAAGCACAAGCCGCTTCCGCCTCTGCCGGTGCGACCGGGCGCCAAGAGCAAGAAGCCGAAGAACATGAACGTTGGCGAGCTCGACGCGGCGCTGCGGACGCTGTTTTCGGACGTACTCGATCTGGAGGTGCCTCGCGCTCGCCCCTCAGTAGCCTCGCACGAGTACCGCTCTGATCCGAGCGCGTGGCGATAGGGCCGCATTTCGCTGCTGCCGAAGAAGCCTCGAGAGGGGAGCGGAGGGCTCTGCGGCACGAAGGCGGAGAAGGTCGCGATCCTCACGGAGGTGCTCGAGACGCGCGAGAGGAGCGCAGCGGCGGCGGCGGAGGCGGCTGCGGACGGCGAGGCGGTGGACGGCGAGGCGGCGGCTGCGGGCACGGAGGCGGCGGCGGAGGAGGAACAGGCGCTGGCGGCGATGGCGGTGGAGCCGGACGAGGCGGAGGAGCCGGTGGTTGAGGTGGAGCGCGAGGGCGGCGCTGGCGGCGTCAACATCGGCCCGTGCCCTGTGGACGTTAGCCCGACCGAGTGGTCCAAGTACCGGGCAGCGATGGAGAAAAGCAACGCGGAGAGGGCGCGCATCAAGACGGCCAATGAGGAGAAGACGGCGGCAAAGAAGGCGTGCACCACGTACACCGACACGCTCCGAAACTGCCTGAACGGCGTCATTATGCACATGAGCACAGCGCAGGGCACTGCTGACGAGCGCTGGGAGGCGGGAGTCAAAAGGTTTCAGAACGGGATGATCCACCACTGCATCCTGAACGACCACCAGTACTGCGCCGAGGATGCCGTGTGCCGCACGCGCGAGGACCCGCACCCGGCGCTGAACGAGTACGCGAGGAATCTTTTGCGCTCTTTCGTGCTGCAGCCGGCTCTAGCGACCATCCTCAAAAAGTACTCACCCCCATTCGCAACACAGCCCGACCCGCCCCTGGCGTGGCAGACGGTGAACGAGCTAGCGTGCGGGGAGAGCGGCATTGTGCATGGTGCGGAGTGCATTGCCGTTCTTAACGGAGTCGCTTAGGCGGCTCCGGTGGTGAGCCGGTGTGTGTGCCAGTCCGCGCCAGTCCGCGCCCTTGTCGTGCCAGTGTGCTTGATTGATGGGAAGGCGAAACACAGTCCGACCAACGACTGGGACACCAACGCGGTATGGGTGGACGCTAGACGGGCGAGTCACAGTGTGCTAGGTAGGTAGGTAGAAAGGTGAAGAACAGCCAGTGTGCTCTGAGAGAGAATTCTTTTTCAGGAGGCCCGCAGCGCGGCAAGGTGGGCTCGGGGGGTGGAGTGCGACGAGCGAGCGATTGAGCGCGCTTTCGAGGGGACGGGGGAAGAGCGGCCGGCCAGGTGGGCCGGTCTCTTCGACGGCGCCTAAGGGGTTGCCGTCTGCTGTGCTCCTTTTGGTACCTGTGTCGAACCTGTGTCGGTGAGAGAGAGTGGCTTGTTGAATTCTTTTTCAGGGTACCCAAGACTGGCACAGCGGCTGGCACCACGCTAGCGAGCAAGTGTTTGCGTTGGGTGGGCTGCGCCTTAGCCCACAGGCCCAAGCCTTACACCTTCTGCGCTTGAACAAGCATGCGCCGACGAGAGCACCGCTGTGCCATATCGCTGGCGTGGCTGCTGCTTCAGACGGCGTCGCTACGGCCTCCGCGGCGGGAGGTCTGCCGCGGATTGATTGCGGGCTCCTCGCTGGCGTCGCTCCCAGCTTCAGCGGTGCCACGGTACACTGATCGTGTTGCCCGGTCCGGCGGGCCTGGCGCAGCGACGCTGGAGACCGTGGAGGGCCCAGGGACGGACGGTCGGGCGTATGGGCTGCTTCGCCTTCCCGACGGCGCTCGCTGCCTGCTCGCCTCTGCCGCGCCGTCTCTTACCTTCGACGGAGACCGAGGCAACGTGCTGGCAGGGCAGGTGCGGAGAGGGCGCCCTCGAGAGACACGTTATCTGTCCGGCCGCACGACGTCGAGGCCACACCTCCCACCTCCTTCGCCTCACGCACACACACGCTTCTTCCACCTTTGCTTCTCCATCCGCATCGGTCTGACCTCGACTTCCTCCAGCTTCCTCCAAGTGGCTTTCTCTCGGCTCTCTTCAGCTCTATCTCCAGCTCTCTCTCCAGCTGCTCTCTCCAGCTCTGCGACCTTCACCACGGCCTCCTCCCTCACGGCCTCTCCACCTCTGCTTCTCCACAGCCGGGCCTGCCTCCGCCTCAGGCCACACCTCCCACCTCTCTCCAGCTCTATCTCCACCTCTACTTCTCCAAAGCGCCTTCGCCTGCCTCCGACTCAGGCGGTGGAAGTCGCGGTGACGGTGGGATGCGGGTCGATGCGGGACCCGGACGACTGGCAGCCTAGAAGCGGACGATCTCCCCAGATCTCCCCCCGTATCTCCCCCGTATCTCCCCCGTATCTCCCCCGTATCTCCCCCCGTATCTCCCCCCGTGTCTCCCCCGTATCTCCCCCACACCTGGCAGCACGGAGCCCAGAAGCGGACGGCGCACTTTTGTCTTCCAACCAGCGCCCGAGAGGACACGCACTCCGCTGCATCCTCCCATATTCCGCCGTCGTCACTGTACTCGCCGCCCTCGTATCGACGGAGTGACCGAACACTGATGCTGGCATCTCACCCTGCAGGACTGGGAGGGGCTGGCCCACCTTGCAGAACACGTGACGCTCGCCTCCGCCGCGGGTGTGCGGCTGACGGAGTGGGTCGACGAGCGGGAGGGCGAGGTACGGCGAGATATGGGGAGATATGGCGAGATATGGGGAGATATGGGGAGATATGGGGAGATATGGGGAGATATGGGTCGACGAGCGGGAGGGCGAGGTACGGCGAGATAGGGGGAGATATGGGGAGATATGGGGAGATATGGGTCGACGAGCGGGAGGGCGAGGTACGGCGAGATATGGGGAGATATGGGGAGATATGGGGAGATAGGGGGAGATATGGGGAGATATGGTTCGACGAGCGGGAGGGCGAGGTAGGGCGAGATATGGGGAGATATGGGGAGATATGGGGAGATATGGGTCGACGAGCGGGAGGGCGAGGTCCGAGATTACCCGAGATTGCCCGAGACTACCCGAGATCACCCGAGATTACCCGAGAGTGGGTCGACGAGCGGGAGGGCGAGGTCCGCGGCGTCAGAGGCAAGAGACGACCCAACGGGAGTCAGAGAGGCGACGCACACACCACACAAAAGTCAGACCAACGGCTGGGACACTGGACTGATGGTGGTGGCGGCGGTATGGGAGGGCGCTGGACTGGTGGTGGCGGCGAGGGTGGCCTTCAGTCCCCTGGTCAACGGGGTGCCGTGCGTGCGAGCAGGTGAACGGATTCACGGAGGAGGAGAGGACGACCTTCACCTTTCAGCTGGGCAGGCAACTTGGTAGACACCTCCTGGACACCTCCTAGACACCTCCTGGACACCTCCTGGACACCTCCTGGACACCTCCTGGACACCTCCTGGACACCTCCTGGACACCTCCTGGACACCTCCTGGACACCTCCTGGACACCTCCTGGACACCTCCTAGACACCTCCTGGACACCTCCCAGACACCTCCCAGACACCTCCAAGACACCTCCCAGACACCTCCCAGACACCTCCCAGACACCTCCCAGACACCTCCTGGACACTTTTTCAGCGTGGGCAGGCCGGACGAGCCGAGGGGCGAGGCCGAGGAGGCGGCGGACGTGAGCCAGCTCTGCGCGCTCGTCGCCGACCTCTTCGACTGCTGGCGCGAGATTACCCGAGATTTCCCGAGATTACCCGAGATTACCTCTTCGACTGCTGGCGCGCCTCGCCCCGCTGCCCGACGATGCGGTATGGAGCCTCAAGGTCGCTTGTTTCGTGATCCTGAGGCGCGCCTCGCCGCTGCCCGCCGACGAGGCCGTGGTGCGGGAGGAGATCCGGCGAGTCGACGCCGAGCTCGAGGCGAGATTACCCGAGATTACCCGAGATTACCCGAGATTACCCGAGGAGATCCGGCGAGTCGACGCCGAGCTCGCGGCGACGATCTCGGCGAATCTCGGCGAACCTCGGCGAACCTCGGCGAGTCTCGGCGAACTTCGTTGCGAATCTCGACGAGTCTCGGCGAATCTCGCTGCGAATCTCCGCGAGTCTGCGCGAGTCAGGCGACGCGCACCGACCCGTCCAAGTCGCTGATCGAGTGCGGGCAGTACAAGGCCGAGATATGGCCGAGAGATGGCCGAGATATGGCCGAGATATGGCCGAGATACAGTCCAAGTCGCTGATCGAGTGCGGGCAGTACAAGGCCGAGATATGGCCGAGATATAGCCGAGATACAGTCCAAGTCGCTGATCGAGTGCGGGCAGTACAAGGCCGAGAGATGGCCGAGATATGGCCGAGATATGGCCGAGATATAGCCGAGATATAGTCCAAGTCGCTGATCGAGTGCGGGCAGTACAAGGCCGAGAGATGGCCGAGATATGGCCGAGATATGGCCGAGATATAGCCGAGATATAGTCCAAGTCGCTGATCGAGTGCGGGCAGTACAAGGCCGAGATATGGCCGAGATATGGCCGAGATATGGCCGAGATATAGCCGAGATATAGTCCAAGTCGCTGATCGAGTGCGGGCAGTACAAGGCCGAGATATGGCCGAGATATGGCCGAGATATAGCCGAGATACAGTCCAAGTCGCTGATCGAGTGCGGGCAGTACAAGCCCGAGAGATGGCCGAGATATAGCCGAGATATAGCCGAGATATAGTCCAAGTCGCTGATCGAGTGCGGGCAGTACAAGGCCGAGATATGGCCGAGATATGGCCGAGATAAGGCCGAGATATGGCCGAGATATGGCCGAGATATAGCCGAGATATGGCCGAGATATAGCTGAGATATGGCCGAGATATAGCCGAGATATAGTCCAAGTCGCTGATCGAGTGCGGGCAGTACAAGGCCGAGATATGGCCGAGATATGGCCGAGATATAGCCGAGATATAGTCCAAGTCGTTGATCGAGTGCGGGCAGTACAAGGCCGAGATATGGCCGAGATATGGCCGAGATATGGCCGAGATATAGCCGAGATACAGTCCAAGTCGCTGATCGAGTGCGGGCAGTACAAGGCCGAGATATGGCCGAGATATGGCCGAGATATAGCCGAGATATAGTCCAAGTCGCTGATCGAGTGCGGGCAGTACAAGGCCGAGAGATGGCCGAGATATGGCCGAGATATAGCCGAGATATAGTCCAAGTCGCTGATCGAGTGCGGGCAGTACAAGGCCGAGATATGGCCGAGATATGGCCGAGATATAGCCGAGATACAGTCCAAGTCGCTGATCGAGTGCGGGCAGTACAAGGCCGAGATATGGCCGAGATATGGCCGAGATATGGCCGAGATACAGTCCAAGTCGCTGATCGAGTGCGGGCAGTACAAGGCCGAGAGATGGCCGAGATATGGCCGAGATATAGTCCAAGTCGTTGATCGAGTGCGGGCAGTACAAGGCCGAGATATGGCCGAGATATGGCCGAGATATGGCCGAGATACAGTCCAAGTCGCTGATCGAGTGCGGGCAGTACAAGGCGGTTAGATTAGATAGAAAGGCGAGGTGCAGCCAGGGGCTCGGGCTTGACACACCATCGCGGTATGGGTGGGGACGCATGACAGGAGATATGGGGAGATATGGGGAGATATGGCGAGATATGGCGAGATATGGCGAGGTATGGGTGGGGACGCTAGACAGGAGATGACGGCACCGCGCCGGAGCGACACACAGACACACACTCTCACAAGACACTCTACAGGGCTTAGTACGCGCCGCCAGCCCGGCGCCTCGGCGGGGGAGGCTGAGGAAGAGAGGCAGTCTGACGGAGTTGCTCACGGCAGGCGCGCGCCAACCCGAACCCTAACCCTAACCCTAACCATAGCCCTAACCATAACCATAGCCCTAACCCTAACCCTAACCCTAACCCTACCCCTGACCCTAACCCTACCCCTAACCCCAACCCTAACCCTAACCCTAACCCTGACCCTAACCCTACCCCTAACCCTACCCCTACCCCTAACCCTATAACCCTACCCCTACCCCTAACCCTAACCCTACCCCTACCCCTATTCCTAACCCTACCCCTACCCCTAGGCGCGCGCCAACCCTGCCTCCCGCTGGGCGCGGCTCGCGCGAGGCTCAAAGGCGACGCTGCCGGCGGCTCGGGTTCCCCTGGGTCTGCCGCGTCGACGCGGCTGTGAACGGCGCCTCTTCACGGCCGCAGCTGTGAACAGGTGCCCGCGATCTGCCGCGCCGTCGACGCGGCTGTGAACGGCGCCTCTTCACGGCCGCAGCTGTGAACAGGTGCCCGCGATCTGCCGCGCCGTCGACGAGCTTCGCACGTCGGGCTACACGCCGCTCTCCATCTCGCTCGCCATCGTCTCGCCCCTCCCCCTCTCCCTCTCCGCCGCCATCGCCACCGACGCCTTCCGCCGCCGCGCGCCGCTCCTCCGCCCCGCCGTCCGCCCGCCGCGCCGCGGCCCGCCGCCCTTCGGCGCTGGGTGGGACGCATCTCCGTGCGTCGTTGAGCGCCCAGGCCGCCACCCGTGCCTGGCCGTCGGCTATACCTCGGCTGCATGTCGGCTACATCTCGGCTACATCTCGGCTATATCTCGGCTACATCTCGGCTACATCTCGGCTACATCTCGGCTACATCTCGGCCACACCTCGGCTACACCTCGGCTATATCTCGGCTGCATCTCGGCCATATCTCGCACTCCAGGCCGCTACCCGTGCCTCACTGTCGGCTGGTGCGTGCCGGTGGACGACCCCGTCGCTGCGGCGCGCTGCAAGCCCCTCGCCGTCCATTAAGAATTGATTAATTAACTCAGTGAGTGATTCAGGACTAATTAAAGGCGCGCTGCAAGCCCCTCGCCGTCCATTGATTAGTAGTAATTAATTGATTAGTCATTGAGTGATTCATAATTAATTAAAGGCGCGCTGCAAGCCCCTCGCCGTCCTCGGCCACGCCCTCACCTCGCCGCGCGCCGGCTTTAATGAATTACTAATTACTCACGGAGTACGAGTTCATAGGCCACGCCCTCACCTCGCCGCACGCCGGCTCCGCCTCTGACGTCCTACGCACCGCCGGCATCGCCCCGCTGTCGGCCGAGCTATATCTCGGCGATATCTCGGCTGTATCTCGGCTGCATCTCGGCTAGGCATCGCCCCGCTGTCGGCCGAGCTTGAGCCATGTCTGACCGCGCGTGCCGTCTCGAGCGCAGAAGGGCGGGCCCCGCCCTAGCCTTTCCCTCTCGCGGACCCCACGCCCCGTTCCACACCTCTGGCTGTGAACAGGTGGGCCCCGCCCTAGCCTTTCCCTCTCCAGGACCCCACGCCCCGTTCCACACCTCTGGCTGTGAACAGGTGGGCCCCGCCCTAGCCTTTCCCTCTCCAGGACCCCTCGCCCCGTTCCACACCTCTGGCTGTGAACCTGCATCCCTGGTGCTTCGGGTGTTCGCGCCCCACCCTCTCACAGACCAGCTCGCAGCGCCATGGGAGGTAGCCCTCCTCTCACTAGCAAGGGCTGTGAACAGGTGGGAGAGTAGCCCTGTGGGAGAGCAGCTCTCCTTGTCGGGTCTTCACACCTCTGGGCTGTGAACAGGTGGAGAGTAGCCCTGTGGGAGAGCAGCTCTCCTTGTCGGGTCTTCACACCTCTGGGCTGTGAACAGGTGGAGAGTAGCCCTGTGGGAGAGCAGCTCTCCCTCTCGGGTCTTCACACCTCTGGGCTGTGAGCAGGTGGGCCCTGTGGGAGCTCTCCCTCTTGATGAACCCGGGGGCAGAGCGGCGGTGGCGCGAGGCGAGGGGCCGTCCCCCCCCCCCCCCCCGTCGAGATGCGCCGAGCTCAGCCGAGATTGCGCCGAGATACAGGCGAGGGACGTCCTCATCTCCGCGGTCGGCGTTGCGTCGCGCGGCGTGCCGGCGCATCTCGCGGCGGAGGCCAAGTCGTTGGCTCTCCTTGGCTGGCGCTACTCGTCGCGTGCGCCGTCGGCCATCGAGCTGTCGCGCGACCTGCAGGACGAGATGAGACGAGATATGGACGAGATATAGACGAGATGAGACGAGATATCGCCGAGAGACGCGCCGAGATCATCAGCCGACATCGGCCGTCGCGCGGCCTGCAGGACGAGCCGTCGCCGCCGCTCGCGCTCCTCACGGGGCACACGTTCGTCGGCGACTAATTAATATTATTAATTAAGATTCTAATTAATATTCTAATTAATAGGCACACGTTCGTCGGCTGCTACCAACGGGGATGTATGTCTTTTTCGAGACATATTTCTTTTTTTAGGCACACATTCGTCGGCGACGCGCAGACCGTCGCCGACGCGGCGACGGACGCGGCGCGGCGCGCGCTGTCGTTCTCGGAGGCGGTCGTGACGCTCTACTGCCCCTCGCTCGACGGCCTCGGCCCGCTCGCGCAGCTCGGCCCGCTCCTGCAGCCAAGCGCGTACGCACAGCAGTGGGGCGAGATCGGCAGCTCCCTCCGTTAGTGAACGGGCAGCTGTTGAAGAGTCACCAACTCATGACTAGGCGAGATCGGCAGCTCCCTCCCGCTCGTCGCCGCGCCTCTGGAGCCCCTCCGACCCACACCCGCCGACGCGGCCGCCTACCGCCGCCGGTTCGGCTCGCCCCTCGAGCTCTGCCGCCGCCTCGTGCCGCCGCCGGCCAACTACCGGTCGCCGTCGCGCTAACCAGGAAAGGCATCGGCCAAAAAGGAGAAATGCCACGTAGGCCAACTACTGGTCACCCGCCGCCTCGCCGCCCTCGGACGGACCCCGCATGCCCGCGCTGCGCCGTCGCTTCGCCGGCGCCGCGCCGCGGCCGCGCGAAGTGGCGGCGCTGGAGGCTCGCTCTAGGTCGTCGGTCGGTTTGCCGGTGGAGCGGCTGCCCGCGTCGGCGCTGTCGGTGGCGCTTCTGCCGGGCTGTGTCGGCGAGAGAGGGGAGATCTCGATCTTCGACGGCAAGCGCGACAACGCGCTCGCTCGCCGCCGCCAGCTGCTACCAACGGGGATGTATTTCTTTTTGACCCCAGTTTTCCTTTTTAGGCCCTCGCCGCCGTCACCTGCTTTCGGCCAGACACTCCCTTTGGAGTCGTGCTGCTCTCGCTCGAGTCCGACCGCCCCTCGGCCCTGCGCGCCGTCGACCCGGCGGCCACCTCCGCCTCCGCGGCTTGCGGCGAGCTCTGGAAGCTGTCGGTGCTGCAGGCGATCATCGCCGGGCTTGCTGCCTCGCCTAAACCGAGAAATGCCGCCGCATCAAAAACGAAATTCACGACCGCAGGCGATCGCGGAGCCCGCCAGCCTCGCCGCCCGCTGCGGCGTCAAGGTCGAGCTTTCTGTGCTTATCAATCAACTAGTTAACTAGTCAATAATCCAACTGATGAGCTGATCAAGGTGGAGCTCTCCTTCCTGTCAATCAACCACTTACTATTTAGCTGATGAACTAATCATCATCTAATCAAGGCGGAGCTCTCCTTCCACGCGCGCGGCGCCCGCCTGGCCGCCACCGGAGGCGCCTCTCGCGTCGGCCCGCTGCTCCTCGCCCTCCTCGCCTCCGCCGCGGAGGAGGAGGGGTCTGCGGCCGTGCCGCCCGACGCGTCCCTCGAGATGGCCGCGGTGAAGCGATCCGCTACAGCGTCGGTGCGCGCGCTGCGCAGCCGGCTGGGGGCGGGAGTGTATTTCTTTTTTAGGCAGATATTTCTTTTTTAGGTGCGAGCGCTGCGCAGCCGGCTGGGGGCGGCCGCGGACCGGCGCATCGCCGCCATCGACGAGGCTTCTAGGAACCTTCTAGGAACCTTCCAGGAACCTTCTAGGAACCTTCTAGGCGCATCGCCGCCATCGACGAGGCTTCGGCGAGCGGCGTGAGGAGCGAGGCGGCCGCGTTCTGGCGCTCGGTGCGCGGCGCGCAGCTGCTGCTCGCCGGCAGCTTCAGCCGCGCAGACTCGGACGCCCTCGTCGACGGCGTGAGGCGCACGCTGCTGCCGATGCTGCCGCCGCCGCCCGCCGGCGCCCCCGCCGCCAGCGCGGGCACCGGGGAGGCGGAGCCGCTGGTGCGGAGCGAGGTGCTCGCCGAGTGGGGGCCGCTGCTGTACAAGCCGAGCTACACGCCGCGCCCGCTCGCAAACAATTTGTGCCTGGTCCCGGCGTTCGGCGCGACGCTCGACCAGTGCGGTTTGCGCATCGGCGCGTAGCGTGGCGCCGCGTCCCTCTAGACGTGGGTGCTCCGTGACGGTTACATAGACATACTCTTAACCGCTGATTTTAAGGCTCTCCCGTTGAGCGCGTTGACCGTTTTGTGAAAATTGCAAGCGGGTTCTGCGACTGCCTGTGTGTCGCTATCGATTCCCCCTCCCCCCTCCGCCCCGCGGAAAGCACTTCCCACTCTTGTCTAGACCGGGTGCTCCGTGCACCGTGGCGTTACATAGACATACAATACTCTGACCTGATATTACCCGGCTCTCATTGAAAACCCGTGTGTGGGTCGCTGACCTGCGTGCTGCGTGAGGGTTTCCCCCTCTCCGCCCCGCGGAACCGGCTCGGGCTGCAGCAGCCTGCACTGTCTCCAGACTCCACACTTCGTTGCGCGTTGGAAGCGCGCCCGGATACGTCAGTACGGTACGGCTCTACCGATCTATGCTGAAACTGCTGACGTGGAGACGCGAGGGTCGCCCCCCCCTGCCCCACCACCTCGTGTGTGTGGAGAAGTTTACCTTACCTTACCTTACCGAAACTGCTGAGGGGCGGGGGGCCAAACGCGAAAGAGGAACTACGGCGAGAACCAAGACAACCACATGTCAGTGTTGGAGGTTGGGCCAGATAGAGAGAACCGTGAGGGCTTGGGAAACACTCCGTCTCCTTCACTAGAGTCAGTTTTGCAGTCGTAGCTGCGTCACATTGGTCTCGCGCCGAGGATGGCGAGGGCGGCGGCGGCATCGGCGGCGACGGAGCTCCCGCTCTGCTCGCCGGGAGCCTGCGTCAAGGCGTCACCTCGCGTAGGCGCGCTGCTGCTGCGGGCAACCGACTCCATCCCTTCGAGCTCCGCGATCGCGCCATCTAACTTGCTCGAGCTTTGTTCCGAGCTAGAGCGTCGCGACACGCACCTCAGCCTCACCCCGCAGCTGCACCTATGATATGTGCATCTCGCTTAGATCGCGTTTCCCTCGGCTATGCACCCTGCTGCATGCCTCCCACCTCCTTCCTCCGGCCGCTCTCTGCGCGTTGAAGCTTGCGCCATAGCTCCTCTCGCAGGCCGCGGCCGCCGCCTACCGTTGCAGCTCGAGGAGAGCTCAATCTCGGCGCCTCTTTCGAGGAGAAGCCGCCACCTGACGGTCTCGGCCAAATCGGCCGGTCTGAGTTAGAATGGGCAATGTTAGCTACTCGTCACCTCCCGGCGATGCGTTCGGGTCCGTCTCGCCAAGCACCGCAGCCTCAAGTCCGTCCAAGCTCCAGAGAATCCGGCCCTCCTCACCCTCGCCATCGCCGTCTCCGTCACTGCCGCGGTCACCGCCGCCACCCTCGCCATCCTCGATGGCGCCACCGTCATCGCCGTCGCCGTCGCCGTTGCCACTGCTTTCGCCGTGACAGTGACCTTCGCTGATGCCCTCGCCCTCCTTCACACCGTCGCCGTCGCCATCGGCACAGCCATTGTGGCCGCCAAGCGGGGCGGGATGATCCGGGGACGTCTCAAAAGGCGGCCCGTGCTTGTTTCTCGGCCTTCCAAGGTCTTCAGCAGAGGTCGCCTATGTCAGCGCAACGCCTCTGACGCCGGTCGCGCCTCCTCCTTACTGGTGCGTGGCTGCGCTGTGTGCTACTCTGTGGCTCGCACCGCAAGGTCATCGGACGCGCAGAGCACTTGCATCGGGCGGAGCGGCCGCAGCGTCCGCGCGGAGGACGCGGCGAGAGGTTGCAGAGGCGCGGGCAGAAGTCCTCCGAACACCGAGGGCGCGCGTGCTGCACCCTGGGAAGAGTCGATGCCATGATCCATGTGTTGCTCGGCTGCTTGCTGCCAGATGGACGGGCGTTTGAAGTCGTTTCATCTTTCAAGTGACGCTGTGGGGCGCCCCGCAAGGCGCGCGATACACAGGGTGTTTGTTCGAGGTGTTTGTGTCGGTAGAGTTCGTACAGTACGACACGTGCTCTATCGTCACCCAAACGAGTGAGAGACGAGGCCCCTCAGCCAAGACAGTAAAGAACCGATTCTTCGTTCTTACCCGGCAATGGCCCGTTGCCTCGCGTGCAAGACGCCGGATTTCCGCAAGATTCGGCCGAGCGTCTTCCCTACTGTGCGACGCCACAGCCCATGCAGAGTGCCTCCCCCCACCCCCCGGGGGGAGGGTGAAGGGCGGCTCAAACCTTCGCGCCAAACTTGGCCGCGCGCGCCTCGCGCCGCGCCTCCTCGCCCGGCCCGAACGCGGCGTCGAGCGACGGGGACGCGTTGCGGTCGGCGAGTGGCCTGTTCACAGCGGGGCGCGTGTGAAGAGGCGCCGTTCACAAGAGAGGCCGCCGCGCGGGCGCCGAGAGCGGCCGTGAGGAGCGGTCAAACTCGCCCCGCCGCTCGTCACGCCGCTCGTCACGCCGCTCATCACGCCGCTCATCACGCCGCTCATCACGCCGCTCGTCGCGCCGCTCGTCGCGCCGCTCATCACGCCGCTCGTCGCGCCGAGCGCCTCCGCGGCCGCCGCCCTCCCTCGACGAGTAGTCGCGGTCGCGGCGCCGCTCGTCGCACCGCTCAAGCCCGTAGCGACCGCCGCCGCCGCCGCCGCCGCCGCCGCCGCCCCACTCGCCGCGGGCGCGAAACGCGTCGCGCTCGCTGCCGCCGCCGCCGCCGCCGCCACCTCCACCGCCGCCGCCGCCACCGCCTCGGCCTCGGTCGTAGACATCGCGGCGGCCGCTGTCGCCGTCGCGGGGAGCACCACCGAGGCGCGAGTCGATCTCGTCAAACTGGTCCACCTGATGAGTTAATTAATTAACTAATTAACGAGTCGATCTCGTCAAACTGGCACCCGATGAGTGGCTTGGTGCTCTGTGACCGAGATATGACCGAGACATGACCGAGATACGACCGAGATATGACCGAGACAAGACCGAGATACGACCGAGATGTGACCGAGAGATATGACCGAGACAAGACCGAGATACGACCGAGATGTGACCGAGAGATTTGACCGAGATACGACCGAGGTGTGGCCGAGACGTAGTCGAGATGTAGCCGAGATGTAGCCGAGATGTACCCGAGAAATAGCCGAGATGTAGCCGATATGTAGTCGACATGCAGCCCAGGTATAGGAGTCGACGGGGGGGAGGGGGAAGGGCAGAGAGACGCCCTCCTCGACGTCGATGCGGCCGCCCGCGCCGCCGGTGGGCGTCGACTCGGCGAGGATGCCTAATTATTCAATCAATTTACTAATCAGTGATTAATTAACAACTAATTCAAATCGGTGGGCGTTGACTCGGCGAGGATGCCTAATTTTTTAATCAATTCACTCATCAGTGATGAACTGATAACTAATTCGAGCGGGGTGGGCGTCGACTCGGCGAGGGATGCCTAATCAATTCACAGTGATTGATGAATAGCTAATTCGAGCGGGGTGGGCGTCGGCTCGGCGAGGGATGCCTAATCAATTCACAGTGATTGATGAATAGCTAATTCGAGCGGGGTGGGCGTCGGCTCGGCGAGGGATGCCTAATCAATTCACAGTGATTGATTAATAGCTAATTCGAGCGGGGTGGGCGTCGGCTCGGCGAGGGATGCCTAATCAATTCACAGTGATTGATGAATAGCTAATTCGAGCGGGGTGGGCGTCGGCTCGGCGAGGGATGCCTAATCAATTCACAGTGATTGATTAATAGCTAATTCGAGCGGTGTGGGCGTCGGCTCGGCGAGGGATGCCTAATCAATTCACAGTGATTGATGAATAGCTAATTCGAGCGGGGTGGGCGTCGGCTCGGCGAGGGATGCCTAATCAATTCACAGTGATTGATGAATAGCTAATTCGAGCGGGGTGGGCGTCGGCTCGGCGAGGGATGCCTAATCAATTCACAGTGATTGATGAATAGCTAATTCGAGCGGGGTGGGCGTCGGCTCGGCGAGGGATGCCTAATCAATTCACAGTGATTGATTAATAGCTAATTCGAGCGGGGTGGGCGTCGGCTCGGCGAGGGATGCCTAATCAATTCACAGTGATTGATTAATAGCTAACTCGAGCGGGGTGGGCGTCGGCTCGGCGAGGGATGTGCCATGCTTCCAGAGCAGGTTCACGTCGCGCCCAAAAGTGTACCTGCTCACAGCCGTTCTCCTTCGTCTTATTATTATTATTATTATTGTTATTATTATTATAACTACCTGTTCAAGGCAAGGGAAGGGAAGGTACACTTCTCCACACACACACACGAGGGTGGCGGGGCGAGGGCCAGGTGACCCTCGCGACTCCACGTCTAGACGACAGGAGCCCCGCGGCATTACAAGTGCAAGGCCCAGTGCGCGTGGGTGAGCGGTGGGTGGGTGGTGGTGGTGGTGGTGGGGGGGGGGGGGGGTACCTGTTCACAGCGCCGGCCTGTGAAGAGACGCCGTTCACAGAGCGCGGGCTCGCGCGCCCAACGGTTGGCACGTGGACGCGTCGGGCAGCGTCATCGAGACGACGACATTCTTGTGGCTCCTGTTATTATTATTTCCTGTTCTTATTATCACGTGTATTACTCTTGTTGTAGACGACGACATTCTTGTGGCTCCTGTTATTATGATTATTTACTGTTATTATTACCACGAGCAGTCTTCTTGTTGTAGACGACGACATTCTTGTGGGTTCCCCGGGTGCGGTGCGGGCGAGCGCAGCGCGTCGGGGAAGTCGCCTGCAACAAGAATACTACTGTGGACACTATTAATTAATACTACGAATTAAAAGGATAGCGAACCCCCTCCTGCGCGCTGAACACGCCAACCTCAGGGCGGGAAGACGGTGTTGCGCAGCGTTTTGAGAGCACCGCGTGAATACAACGGAGAGGAGTACAGTGAGTACAGCGGGAGTACAGCGGGATACAGCGGGATACAGCGGGAGTACAGCGGGAGTACAGCGGGGTACAGCGGGGTACAGCGGGGTACAGCGGGGTACGAGTCCTCTCGAGTGCTGGTTGGGGAAGACAGGAATGCGTATTCCGCTTCTAGGGGAAGGCGCCGCTCTCCCGCGCCCCCGCCCACTCGAAGGCCGCCTGAGGTAGAGGGAGATAGAGGGAGATAGAGGGGGGTAGAGGGAGATACAGGGAGATACAGGGAGATACAGGGAGGTAGAGGGAGATAGAGGAGAGAGAGGGAGGAGGGAAGTACAGGGAGGTGGAGGGAGGAAGAGGGAGATAGCGGGAGATACAGGGAGATACAGGGAGGTACAGGGAGATAGAGGGAGATAGAGGGAGATAGATGGATGTAGAGCGAGATAGAGGGAGATAAGAGGGAGGTAGAGGGAGGTAGAGGGAGAGGGAGCAAGAGCGAGAGAGAGCGAGATAGAGGGAGATCAGAGGGAGATAGAGGGAGGGAGAGGGAGAGGGAGCAAGAGCGAGAGAGAGCGAGATAGAGGGAGATAAGAGGGAGGTAGAGGGAGGGAGAGGGAGAGGGAGCAAGAGCGAGAGAGAGCGAGATAGAGGGAGATAAGAGGGAGATAGAGGGAGGGAGAGGGAGAGGGAGCAAGAGCGAGAGAGAGCGAGATAGAGGGAGATAAGAGGGAGATAGAGGGAGATAGAGGGAGATACGAGGGAGATAGAGGGAGATCGAGGCCGCCTGCCGCGCGGCGCCGAAGGAGACGCCGACGGTCATGTTTTGGGCCTCGCACATCGGCGGCCGCCTAGGGGTGGGTTCACTCGCAGGACGAGTGAACCCATCGCCTACTTCTCAGCTGCTCTGACCCCGCAGCGTGCGCGCGCGCCCTCCGCCCCCCTTGCCCCCCTTGCCGCCCCCCTTGCCGCCCCCCTTGCCGCCCCCCTTGCCCCCGCCCTTGCCCCCCTTGCCCGCATCCTTGTCCCGGCCGGCGGCGTCGTGGTGGAAGGGCTTCCAGTTGGTCATGTCGCGGTAGTGGTTGTACCTACTCCGCCATCATCATTAGGATTACTATTCTTATTCTTACTATCCTTATTATTATTGTTGTTGTTGTTGTTTATTTTAGTATTGCTTCTTGTTATTATTCCTGTTGGTTGTACTACTCTGTCATCATCATCACTATTCTTATTCTTCCTAGTATTCCCATGTTATTCTTATCTGATTATTATTGCCATCATCATCACCATCATTATAAGTAGCCGTTGTACCTATCCCATCGCACCACTCCGTGATGCGCAGAGGAACTGGACCCGCCGGTCGCGGCACCGGCCCACACACCGCTTGCCCTGGATCTTCATGCGGAAGAAGTCCTGAAATGATAACAATAATAATAATAATAATAATAATAGAAGGTTCAGGATCTTCATGCGGAAGAAGTCCTCGATCCGCGCGTGCACCGCCGAGTACATCGGCGCCTCGCCGCGCTGCTGCGCGAGCTGCCACCGCCGGTCGCGGTCGTTCACGATGAGGTGGCCGTTGCCGTCGCGGCCATTTGGGTCGGCCAGCCCGTCGCCGGCGGCACGCGGGGTCGTCTTGTGCCACGCCTTGAACAGTCCGTCGGCGTCGTCTGTGAAGACGCCGTCGGTGTTGGTCGAGAAGGCGACGTCGCGGTGGCAGCTCCCGCCACCCTGGGCCGGCGCCGCCTCCAGCCGCGTCGCGTGCTGGATCTCCTCGACAAGGCGCTGGTAGATGGTCTTGGCCGCGCCGCCGGCCACCGCCCACGGGTCGGGAGGCATCACGAAGCCGGAGCTCGGCTCGAAGAGGTCAGGGATCATCACGACGTCGCGCGTGCTCAGGTGCTGCAGCGCCGTCGCAGGGCCGCCGTTCATCGCGCGCAGCGTCGAGGCGAGCGTCTCACCCCGCGAAGCGAGCGCGGTGACGACACGCATGTCGGGAGGCCGTGCCATCGGGTCCTTGGTGGTCGTGTTCTGGTGGCCTGGCACGAGGCCGTAGCGGCTCTGTTTGGAGGGAGCGTAGGCGCTCCACTGCTGGGGATGCTCCATCGCGAGCAGGTCTTGTTATACCAAAAGGAGGGCTACACGACGCCCTCTACGCTGGGGTGCCGGCGCGAGCAGGTCTCCTTCGCGCCAAAGCCTGGCATTAAAATGAATTGCGGATCGCGGGCTAGGCTCTCTTGCCCGTAACCCGATGTGTGTGTGTGTGTGTGTGTGTGTGTGTGTGTGTGTGTGTGTCGATGCCTCCGGCTGTTGCGGCGGGCGGCTTGCTGCTCGCGGCGATGGCGAAAAACTCGTCTCGTGGCACACCAAGAGCTTATGCTCTGGCGATACACACGCACGGCGAGATGTGAGGCGCATGCGCCCAGGAGGGGAGGGCGCATGCGTAACGACGCTGCTAGAGATGCCTTTCGGGGCCCAGAGATAAAACTTCTGATGCCATGCGTGACCTAGTAGTGTCCCCAGCTATGGGCGTGTCCACGTTGGAGCCAGGTGTGGTGTGGGCGCGAGAATAGCTCCGCCGTTCATGGAGGCAACCGATGCGAGTCGACTGGTGTGTGTCGTCGTGGTTTCGTATCAAGAATACTCACTCACACGTAACCCGATGCCGAGCGTCCGGCCAACTGGGTGCGCTTCTCAGCTCCCCGGTCCTGGGCGTGCGATTAATGACTGCACTCCAAGTGCTCCAAGTGCGCGGCACGAACGGGTACAAACGCCAGGGGGGGGCGTGGCCCTGAGTGATGTGTACGCCTACTCAGGGTGTGTGGCAGCCCGCTGGCTGTGTGTCTTGTGAGCTCGTTTGTGTCTGTGTCGCTCGTGCGTGTCGTCATCAATCATCTGTCTCGCTCGCGTCCACCCATACCCTCTGGGCCGGCGCGGGGCCCCCCGGAGGCACCGTGCGCCGCGCAGCAGTGCGGAAACGGGGCCCCGGCTCTATGAGTCTCTATGAGCACCGACTTCCCGAATGATCACGGTTGATCAGAGGGCAGATTTGGAGAGATCTCGAGGAGTACATACAGATAGACCCTCCAACCATCAGAAAACTCCGACCTGATCGGTCGTACTGACCGCCGACAGATCACTCCAGACAGCAGACAGGCCAACGTCTGCACGCGGCCGGCCGGGCGAGAGGCTTGACACGATCCGACCCTGCGACCCTGACGCTGCTGCTCTAGCTATCAGCCATGCACTGCTGACTGCTGCCACAATGTGCGACCTGTGCTGGCCCACTTGGCGGCCTTCCCGGTCAGTGGTGAGGCGCAGTTCAGAGCTGTCGATGGCGCGATGCCGCACTGGTCCCACATTGGTGACACGATACCACCAAGTTTGCCGGTCCAAGAGAGAGGCACCGGCGCTGTCCTGAGAAGGTGCGTGGTCCCTCTTGACTGCCCATGCGCGCGAGGCTGTGTAGGCATAGCCTCGAGAGTGCCAGCAGCCAATCCGAGGTGACGCGCATTGCGCCAGAAGCGTGCACACGATGGAAGGACACCTTCCTACTGGCCGTACGATCAGGTCGTCACTGAATGCTTGATACTAAGGCCGCGAGCTATGCAGGTGATCAATTGTGCATCATGGCACGGTCAGCTGCGCCGACAGGCTGTCGCAAGGCGTGATAGCATGGCCGCAAGTACGCCGAATTCCCATGAAAACAAGTAAAAAAACGCCAAAAAAAAAACAATCCAAAAAAATCGGCGCCTGCGGCGGGCCATGGGACCCCATCTCCCCCCCGCATGGACACCCTCTGGGGCCCCCGCGCCGGCCCAGAGCCCATACCGCGCTGGTTGGTGTCCAGTCCGAGTCTGACTGTTCTTCACCTTCCTACATACATACAAACGCCAGCACCTTCACCTCCCGCACGGCGGCAAGGCCGATTTCCGTGGCCGGAGCGGCGCCTTCTACAACTTCTTCTCGGCGCCCGGTATAAGCCTGAACGTAAGGACGGAGGACGCCACTTTCACCCTGCACGAAGGCAAGCTCGTCGTTGACGGTTCCTTCATCACAGAGGCGCCGGCTCTGCAGTGCTGGACCAGGCCTCTAGCCTGTGCCGGCCTCCATAACACCTTTTCCACCCTTCTCAGGCGCACATAGTCGCCGGCGCCGGCGTCTGTCCGCCCGAGGCGCCAGCAGCCAAATGTGCCGCCGGTCTCTACAAGAAGCTCTTGAACGTTTCCTTCCTCGCTTCCGAGCTCACCGAGCAGAACGCCGGCTTCACCTATCTGCGCGGCACCTGTGGCAGCGGGAAGCCCTTTATGGGCGGCATCGCGTTCACGAGGCGGTGCGAGGATGTGCTCGTGCAGTCGCACTTCTCGAGCGTCAACTTCTCCGCGCGGGGTTGGACCTTTGTCGTGCGCGGTAACCGCGTCTACGACCGAATCTCCGGACCGCGGCACCGGCTTGATGTCGGGATCAGTTTGGCGGCCGGCACCGCGGCGCGTGCTCTCCCGCATGGCAAATCGCCGAGCAGACGACCATGCTCCTCCCATTGCCCTGGAGTGTGGTGAACTCTCGCCGTCCCGCTTGTAGGCATCGTCGGACAGGCCTTCTCCTCCGCCTCGCCGCGCTTCGGAGCCAAGGATTACTACCCACAAGAGGGCACCTTCAAGACGAGCGCGAATGCGGAGGGCGCGATCGAGGGCTCGGCGGCCATGTACGAGGTGGCAGACCCGTTCGAGACCAACTTCGCCTTCTCGCGCTTCTCCGCCGCACAGCAGTCTCCCGCAATGGACGATGTGGCCCAAGGAGGTGGGGAGGTGGCGCTGGCGGACGACGCCTCTGCGGTGGAGTACTAGGGCTGTTTTGGGGGGCGTGGAGCGACAAGTGTTTTGTGAGGGAGGGCGAGACGATCGTGGGGTCTCCCCTTCCACAACGACAAGTTCCAGAGCTCTCTAGCGAGTGGGAGGGACGAGATTTTGACCGCATCTAGAGCCGTACCTCGACGCTCGAGCGTCGAGGTACGGCTCTCAGTCCTGTGTTAGTGCCAGTGCGCGCCAGTCCCGTGCCCAGTGTTGTGCGAGGGAGTTTTGTTGTAAAACTCTAGACTGAGAGTACGGTACTCTAACTAGCTGTATCCCTTCGCCCCGACTGCAACGGTGGTGTCGTCCTATGACGCCCAGTCATGACGTCGATGTCCGTCCAGGCTGCAGTAACGCAGACGCCGCCGCCCACCGGGCCGCCTCCCCTGCCCAAGACCAGTCCTCTCTAAAGCCGTACGAGGCTGGGGGCTCATCGCCCTCGTGCCTCCTTGGCATCGCGCTCCTGTCGCTGTCGATCGCGGCTTTCGCACATAGGTCTGCCCTGATCTATGTGAGTTGTGTGGAATGGCAGGCAACGGCACTCTCGATGATCTGGCTGTCCCCGCGGTGCCCGCCTGGTGATGGATGGGATGGTGAAGTGACGGGCGCTGTACCGAGCGCCTCGACATAGGCCGCCGTGGAGTGGGAGATAGTGCTGGAGAGGCAAAGGAGAAGACAAGGACAACGACAGTAGGCAGCGAGAGGAGGTCTCGAGCGCCTATATGAAGGTATGTGAGTAGAGATGGTGATGGGAATGGGTGGTCGGGCGGGCGGGCGGGCGGGCGGGCGGGCAAGCGGGGAGAGGCGGGCGGGCGGGGCGGGGCGGGCGGGCGGGGTGATCGGAGGAATCGTATCCACAATCCCAGCAGGAAGAAAACGCTTCACGCACACTTTCCTCAGGTGCGGTATGCTTAGGTGGTGAGCCGGTGTGTGTGCCAGTCCGCGCCAGTCCGCGCCCTTGTTCGTGCCACCCAGTGTGCTGTGAGAGAGGCTTGTACGGCTTTATTTTAAGAATTCTGTTGTCCAAAATGCACCTTCCTTACCAAAGTGACTCAGGGTCTTCCCATCGGTCATGTCAGCCCTCCTCCGCGCGAGCGAGCCCAGAGAGGTACGCGCCCTCCCCGTCGGGCGATCCCGCCACTCGCGCGCCCATCCCGCCCCGCGCCCCAGCCCCTTCGCCGGCGCACCGCGCCACGGGGCGGAAGGCTCTGCCGAGGTCTCGCACGGCGCCTATTCACAGCGGGCGGTGTGAAGAGGGTCTCGCACACGCGCCCTCCCACCCGTTCGGGCGCCGCCCACGCCTCCCTCCTCCTCCGCCCCCGCGTCGCCGCCGACTGTCCGCGAGAGCAGCTTCCGCGCCGGGGAGGCGGAGGCGTGCATGGAGCCGATCCTAACCACACTAATAATAACCATGATCATAATAATAACAGGAATGTCGGGGTTGCAATTACAAGGGCCCATCGCTGTCGCGCACACCTCTAAGTGCAGTTCCGGCGCATCGCGTGAGAGGGACACGCACACACCGCGGATGCGATAGCAGCACTGTTAGCCACAGGCTCTGCCGGCATCTAGAGAGCCGATCCACTCCGCCGCGGGCACGGGAGAGACGGCCTGCGGAGGAGAGAAGATTGCGGTTGCAGGGAAGAAGGGTGCGCGGAATGTGGCGGCGGGGAAGCGAGGGTGCGAGCGTGTATGTATGTGCACGTGTGGCTTTGCGTGTGTGCGTGCGTGCGTGCGTGCGTGCGTGCGTGCGTGCGTGCGTGCGTGTGCATGCGTGCATGCGTGCGTGCGTGCGTGCGTGTGTGTGTGTGTGTGTGTGTGTGTGTGTGTGTGTGTGTGTGTGTGCGTGCGTGTGCGTGTGTGCGTGTGCGTGTGTGCGTGTGTGTGTTTTGGGGGGGTTCGCCTGCCCCTCAGCGCCTCTCCTCGCAAACGTCCCGCCTGTTCACAGCCAGACCTGTGAAGAGACGCTGTTCACACCAGCGGCTCTCCTCGCAGACGCACCCCCACTCGGAACCTTCTCGGAACCTTCTCGGAACCTTCTCGGAGAAGACGTCCCGCCCCCCCCCGGACCCCTCCCTCGCCCCTCTGGGCTCTCCCAGCCAAGGCAGGGCGTGTGGTACACGCTCGGCGGGGAGGCAACTCGCACGCGAGGCCGCCGCCACGCGCCGCCCTATCACCACAAGGGGGCCCATTCATGCGACCATGGACAGCAGCTCACAAGCCGCCAGAGCCCGCCGCGCTCTCCTGCTCCGGCGTCCTTGGCTCGGCCGCAAAGCCCTCACCCTCCACTCCCTTCTCCGCCATCGCTGCAGATGCTGCCGCCGCCGTTGCTGTTGCTGCTGCTGCTTCTGCAGCCGCCGCCGCCTGCTCCTCCGCTCTTGCCGCCGCCGCCTCCGCCGCCACCTCCGCTTCCGCCTCCGCTTCCGCCTCCGCCGCCTCCGCCGCTGCCCTCGCCGCCGCCGCCGCCTCCGCCTCCATCGCCGCCTCCGCCTCCGCCTCCGCCTCCACCGCCGTCGCAGCCTCTGCCTCCGCCTCCGCCTCCGCCTCCTCCGCCTCCTCCGCCTCCCACGCCACGCGCGCAAGCTTCGCGCCAGCCGCCCCACCCTTGGCGGCGGGGGCGGCGGCGGCCAATCGCGTATGACTGGGCAGCTCGCCCAGCCACGCACCCCCCCCTTCCGACAGCAGCTTTCTAGGTGCCTTCTCGGAGCCTTCCGAGAACCTTCTAGGAACCTTCTCGGAGCCTTCCAAGAAATTTCTAGGAGCCTTCTCGGGGCCTTCCGAGGGCGGCCGGAAGGCCCTCTCCGCCGCAGCGCCGTCGCCGCCAAACATCCAACTCTCATAGCCGCGATAAGCAACGCCGCCGCCGACGCCGCCGCCGCCGCCGCCGCCGCCACCGCCACCGCCGCCGCTGCCGCCGCCGCCGCCGCCTCTGCCGCCTCTGCGCGTGTCGGCACTGGTCTGGCTGGTGTGGGAGGGCCGCGAGCAATCCTTCCAGCGAGGCGGCGACGGAGGCTGTCGCCGCCTCCGCTGCTGTTGTTGCTGCTGCTGCTGCTGCTGCTGCTGCTGCTGGCGCGGCTTTTGCTGCTGCTGCTGTTGTCTCTGCGTCCGCTGCTGGATCTGCGGCTGCCTCTGCCCCTGCTGCTGCTTCTGCGGCGGCGGCTGGTGGGGTGTCCGCTGCCGCCGCGGCGGCGGCGGCGGCGGCGCGGAGCCAGACAGCGCCGCAATCCCGAGCAGAGCAGCCGCAGGGTCTGCTGCAGTGTGAGCCTCGAGCGCCTGGGAAGGTTCCGAGAAGGGTCCGGGAAGGGTCCGGGAAGGGCCCGGGATGGGCCCGCGGCTGCGCGAGGCTCGAGCTGCCTCCCGCAGCTCCTCGGCGTACTGGATCGCCGCCACCCGCGCGCCGACAGCGTCGGCCGCCTCCCGCTCCAGCGACGCGACCTGTTCACAGCGACGCCGCAGCCGTGAAGACGCGCCGTTCACAACGCGGAGCCGCCTCCGAGTTTGTCTTCGGCCGTGCGCGACTGGCTCCCGAGCTCCGCCTCTAACGACTGGGCGAGCCGCACGGCGCGGGCCGCTTCGCGCCTGCTCACAGCCCCGCGGGTGTGAAGAGACGCCGTTCACACCCGCAGCACCGCGCGGGCCGCGTCGCGCCTCGCCGCCTCCGCCTCCGCCTCCGCCGCCCTCGCCCTCGCCTCGGCCTCCTCCACCGCCGCCGCCGCAGACTCCACCCTCCCGCCCGCCTCGCGCTCGCTCGCCGCCTGTTCACGCCGGCGACGGTGTGAAGAGAACGCCGTTCACAGCGGCCGCCGTCTCGCCCGAGCTGCATGGCGCGCCAGCCTCGCCTCTGCCTCCGACGAGCGCCGGCGGGCACTCGCGGCGTCCGCCGCCGCCGCTCGCGCCTCCTCGCGCGCGTTCGCCTCCGCTGCCGCCGCCGCCTCCGCCGCCGCCGCACACGCGCGCTGCGACGCGAGCGAATGGGCCTGGTTCACAGCTGGAGGCGTGAACAGACGCCGTTCACACCTCGGACCGCGTGTGACGGGACGGGGTATACGCTGCCAAAATCTCGGCCGTATCTCGGCTGCATCTCGGCTACTTCTCGCCGCATCCTCCGCCACCGCCGCCGCGCGCTGGCCCATCGCGTCGCGCTGCGCCACCGCCGCCGCCGCCTCCTCCGCCGCCTCCTCCGCCGTCGCCCTCGCCGCCGCAAGCTGCCCGCAATACTCGTCCTCGACCTCGGTCCTCGCCGCCTGGTGAAAGAAAGAAAAGAAGACCCCTCCGCCAAAAGAGAGAGCTGCGGAGGAGGAGCCTAAACTGCGGAACCCGCCTCCGCCTGCTGGGCCGCCGCCGCCGCCTCCTCCGCCGCCGACAGCCGCTGCTGCAGCTTGCGGCAGAGGCAACGCGCCTATTAATCATCATTAACGCTTGATGATCTCACTATTAATTATTAATCGCTGCAGCTTGCGGCAGAGGCAACGCGCCCTCTGCTCCGACGCCGCGAGGCAAGTCACCCGACCCGCCGCCTCCGCCGCCCCCTCCCTCTCCAGCCTAAATCCTTCCTCCGCCTCCGCCGCCCGCCCCTCCGCCGCCGCCGCCCGCCCCTCCGCCGCCGCCGCCCGCCCCTCCGCCGCCGCCGCCCGCTCCGCCGCCGCCGCCGCCTCTCTCACCGCCTCCGCCTCCGCCGCCTCCGCCGCCTTCAGCTCTAACCGCACCGCCTCCACCTCCGCCTCCGCCTCCGCCTCCGCCGCTGCCGCCGCCTCGCCCCTCTCCGCCGCCCTCTCCGCCGCCGCCCTCTCCGCCGCCGCTGCGGCCGCCTGCAGCGCCGCCGCCCGCCGCCGCGCCGCCAGCGCCTCCGCCGCCTCCTCCTCCCGCTGCATCGCTAGCTCCTCGACCCCTGACGGCAGCGATAGCAGCGTCGGACGTGGGCAGTGTGGCCAGCGCTGCAGCTATGCATCAGCGGTGCCACCGCAGCGGCTATGAGTCGACAGTGCTAGCTTGCAGCTATGCATGGCGATACCCGGGTAGTGCTACCTTGCAGCTAGGCCATCAGCGGTCGAAACTGTGAACACTACTCACTCACTCCAGTCTGTGGTCCTACCGCAGCGGCCTGCACTCAGCGCAACGTACAGAGTGGTCCACGAGCCGAACCGGCCGTCAACGCCTACACACACAAACAAGGGGAGCGCGCTCAGAAAAGAAACCGCCGCTGGCACAAACGACGAGCCGGCCGTCACAGCCTAAAACGAGAAGAGGGCGCCGGCCTCTAGGGGAAAGAAAGCTGCGTCCCACTGCTCCACGAGCCAGCCGAGAGCCTTTCAAGCCGCCCCCGCTGCCGCCGCCGTCGCCACCGCCGCCGCCGCCGTCGCCACCGTCGCCTCGGCGGCATTCGCCGCCGGCCGTGGACGGCCCGGCCGAGGCTGCGGCGGCGGCGGCGGCGCTGAGCGGCAGTGCGGGCGGTTCCGGCACGCGGCCGGCAGACCGCACCTATGAATGGCTCGTTAATGACTGGTTGGTAGGTATCAATGAACGGCTCCGGCACGCGCTGTCGCACCTAATGGCGAACTAATAGCTACTTGGGCTCCGGCACGCGCTCGGCAGCCCGCACCGCGACCTCCGCCTGCACGCACTTGTGGATCGGGGAAAAGAGGAGAGAGGGTGGAGGCGGAGAGGGAGGAGGGAGAGGGTGCGGATAGAGAAGAGAGAGGGCAGAGAGGGTAGGGAGGGGTGAGAATGAGAGGGACGCGGAGAGGACAGAGGGAATGGCAGGAGAGTAGTCCGCCTCGGCTGCGGGCGACAGTCGCTCGAGTGCGCGGCGGGTCTGCGCGCCTGTTCACAGCGGGAGGGTGTGTGAACAGGCGCCGTCCACAGCCTTCCCGCCGCCTCCGGTGCGTGAGCTGGCGCGCCGAGTGCCCGGCACATCTGTCGGCCCGCCTGTTCACACCTCGCGCTGTGAACGGCGACTCCTCCTCGTCACGGCACCCGAACGCACGCGCTAACGATCCGCCTCCAAATCCGCCGCCATCGCCGCCGCCGCCGCCTCCCGCCGCCGCGCTGCCTCCGCTGCCTCCGCCGCCTCCGCCGCCTCCGCCGCCTCCGCCGCCCGTGCCTCGGCCGCCGCCTCCGCCGCCGCCGCCGCCGCCGCCGCCTCCGCCGCCGCCGCCGCCGCCTCCGCCTCCGCCGCCCTCTTCAGCCGCTCCTCTTTCTTCTCGCCTCTCGCAGCAGAAGCAGCCGAAGCAGCGGCGGCGGAGGACGTGGCAGCGGAAGCGGCGGCGGGGGTGGCGGCGGCGGAAGCATCGGCCGGGGAGGCGTCGGCGGAAGCGGAAGCGGAAGCAGCGGCGGAGGAGGTGGCGGCCGAGGTGGCGGCAGCGGCGGCGGCGGCGAGGGCGCCGATTTCAGAGCGGAGGGAAGCGACGGCGTCGGAGAGAGGGTGAGAGGCGGCGAGGCTAGACCGAGGCTCAGCCGAGGTCGCAATCTCAGCCGCCACAACCGAAAGCGGCGGCGGCGGCGCCTGCTGCTGCTGCTGCTGCTGCTGCTGCTGCTGCTGCAGTTGCTGCTGCTGCTGCTGCTGCTGCTGCTGCTGCGGCTGCGGCTGCGGTTGCTGCTGCTGCGCTCGCGTGCTCGCCGTGGCGGCGCGAAGGGCGGACGCGTAGGAGGCGAGGTTGGAGAGGGCATAGCCGACCTGTTCACAGCGGGGCGGTGTAAAGAGACGCCGTTCACGGCGTGCAGCAGCTCGGCAGACTCGGCGGTGGCGGCGCCTGTTCACAGCGAGGCGGTGTGAAGAGACGCCGTTGACGGACCCGCGGCGCGAGCGGGTCGGACCTGCGAAGGACGCGATCGCCGGCTTAACTATGAAACGACTGGTGGGAGCAGGGGCGTGGAAATCGGACCTAGACAAGTGATGAGTCAACAAAGGGTTTGATGAATGAGTGGCGGTGGGGGCAGAAACGAGGTCAGCGGACCCCTCTGTCCATCGCCGCGCGCGCCGCCCTCTCCTCGGCCAAACGCGCCTAAATCACAGCGTGATGTGTGAAGAGGCGCTGTTCACACTCACACCACCGCGGCCCTCCTGCACGGGGGCGCGCCTGTTCACAGCGCGAGGTGTGAAGAGCGACCACGCGGCGCTTGACAGCACGCAGCCCCACGGCCGCCATCGCGCCTCTGCTCTCCTCCCTCTCTCCTCCGCCTCCGCCACCCTCCTCGCACCCTCCCCCTCCGCCGCCGCTGCGGCCGCAGCCGCATTCTTTTCCGCCGCTGCCGCCGCCGCCTAGGAAAAAGAGAAGCCTTCCGAGAAAGAACGCTGTGTACCAGATGGCTGGTGCCGGCACACTCTCGATACAGCGGCGCAAGTACAATAGTACTGCTGTTGCTTCTGCTGCTACTACTGCTACGTTGTTGCTGCTGCTGCTGTTGCTGCTGCTGCTGCTGCTGCTGCCGCTGCTGCTGCTGCTAGCAGCTGTTGTGGTGGTGGTGGCTGTGCCGCCTCCTCCCTCGCCTGCTTCGACGCGGCGCTGCGTGCGAGCGCCTCGGAATGCGCCGCTCGCTCCGCCTCGAGCGAAGCCTAGAGAGAGAGAGAGAGAGAGAGGACGGTGCCTTGCTGGTGATGGTGATGGCTAGTGCGGCAGCGACCTTTGAACCACCGGTGTTGAAACACCACTCCGCCGCGCTAGACTCTGGTCTAGGCACACTCTCGATACGTCGGCGTTGGTGCTAGTGCTGCTGGTACGAAAGGGCTGCTGAGGCTGCAAGTTGCAGACTGCCGAGAGGACGTGTCCGAGAAGGCTCGCGCGGGACAGAAGTGGCAGTGGAACATACACAGCAGTAGCGACCGAGATCGCGGCAGGGGGACAGAAGTGGCAGTGGGACAGACGCACCGAGATCGCGGCGAGGCGGCGCTGCGTCTCGGCTATATCTCGGCTATATCTCGGCTATATCTCGGCTATATCTCGGCTATATCTCGGCCACATCTCGGCTATATCTTGCCGAGATTGCGGCGAGGCGGCGCTGTGTCTCCGCTGCCGCCGCCACGGCCGCCGCCTCGCGCTTGGAGGAGGCACCGCGCTCCGCCCTCCACTCCGCCCGCTCCCGCTCCAGCGCCGACTCCGCGGCCACCAGCGCCGCCGCCGCCGCCGAGCGCGCCGCCTCTGCCCTGGCGCGGCCTTCTCTGGCTTCGGAGAGCGACGCCGCGAGCCGCTGCTGCGTGTCGCTCAGCTCCCGCTCGCGACTGCGCGCGAGCGTCCGCGTCTGCGCCGACGCCACCGACTCGGCGTCGAAGAATGGCGGGCTCACCGGGCTGTGGCAGGCCGACGCACGTGCCGAGCACAGCGAGGCGACCTGAGCGCGCAGATCCGCGGCTATGAACTCCTTGGCCTCGAGCTCGGCCTCGAGGAGACGGATGCGTGTCTGCTCCGAGGAAGTCATTGGCGTTGGATCTTCGCGCGAGCGCAGCGATACCCGCTGCTCACCGCGAGCCGTCTTATTACCAGGTTGCAACCCTTGTTCCGCACTGTGCTGTGAATCGAGCGGCAACCAACAGCTCTCAGGACCCCCCGGTGCTGGGGTGCTGCCAGCAACCAACCAACTCACCGGCGAGCGGAGCGAGCCGAAGAGCGGGCCAAATTGGCGCTGTGAACGCACCTACCTGGCGGGCCGCGCAGGCCCGGCAGCAGGGCACCCCGCGCGGATGCCGACGAGGATCACGGTGCGCTACCCGAACGAAGGTGGACTGCTGCGCAGGGTTTGCGGTGTCAGTTAGTGATAGT